CATTATCAGATATGAGTCAACATCAGACATTAGGTTAAACCCAAATTTGTGTCTCTCCTTAAAGAAAAAGGACGACGGCCCAAAGCTGTCCAAGAAGAAGCTGCGCCGGATGAACCGCCTGAGCGTGGCGGAGCTGAAGCAGCTGGTGCAGCGGCCGGACGTGGTGGAGATGCACGACGTGACGGCGCAGGACCCCAAACTGCTCGTCTGGCTCAAGGTGAGGTCACAGCACAGGCATGGCTGCCTTTTGGATGTACATTACAATTGTGAAATTTCCAAATGCAGGAATTATTCACAAAATTACCTGAAGGATACCGATGTGTGATAAACATATAAACACCATAATAGTTAACCTACAAATAAGGCTTGTTTATTGACACTACATTAAATCCATGATTTAGATATGGATTATTTTCTACTTATGCACAGTGATCACTAATACATAGTATGTCACAGCTACAGTGAGACTTAGTACAGGTCTCGAAATTTCATTTATGCCACTCTGAGGATGCAGTGTAACAGTAGGCACTGAACACACCAAGGAAAGTCAAACCAAGTTTGCAGACCCTGTGTCAAACTGATGGATGTTGTCTGGCGGGGACAGCCCACTGATTCCAGCCCCTATTGGAACATATAGAAAACATCTAAGAACTGAGCTGTCAACAATCACCTACTTGAGTGTTCAACTATTGCAAACACACATTGACAGGGTAGTCCAACTTCCAAATTGTCCATTTAGTCCAAAAATTTCACTTTTTGACCAGCGATACATAGCACGGCAAATGCAAATACTGGCAGAATGACCTCTGACCCCCTTGAAGACCACCAAAAGACAAGAAGATGGGATTAGTCTTAGAACTCTACCAAGCAGCCAAAACAACACTAACAGCCCGTTTTTTCAACTTGATAGAAATAGAAATAACTCTCCAGCTGGAAAATGCCAGCATTTATCCCCACATACCAAGAAAAAGGCTGTTTTCAGTTGGTTTGGCTGCACTCACTAAAGGGGTCTCAGACTGGGCCCTCTGGGCATGCGCCAAATAGTGACCTTTGCCCTGGCCGGTGTGTTTTATCCAGGCCACGAGGAACACAGTCCCAGTTCCCCGGCACTGGTGCTTTAAGAGGAAGTACCTGCAGGGGAAGCGTGGTATCGAGAAGCCTCCGTTTGAGCTGCCAGACTTCATCAAGAGAACTGGGATCATGGAGATGAGAGCAGCCCTGCAGGAGAAGGTCAGGAGTCTTCTCTAGGTGTCTTATTAGATTTTACACCTCCAAAGAGTATTTAGAGTTGCTGTGAATTGCTTGTGTTGTTCATTGATTATTGTGAATTTCTTGCTAATTCTGTTCATATTCTACTGTCACTGATCATCTCGACCTCTAATTAGGCCTTCTGACTTTAAAAGTGTTCAAGTAACTATGGACATACAAACAAACAAACACTGTAAACAAAACCTCTGTATGTGAACGTAAAAATTTAGCTAGTCAACCAGTTACCAATTGTTGATGCCACTGTTTCCCCTGGTGATCAGGAGGACCAGAAGTCTCTGAAGGCCAAGATGAGGGAGAAGGTTCGACCCAAGATGGGGAAGATCGACATCGACTACCAGAAGCTGCACGATGCCTTCTTTAGGTGGCAGACCAAACCTAAGATGACCATCCATGGGGACTTGTACTATGAGGTAGGAATTTATCCAGTGTGTGTTATCTACTATTATTTTGTAGATTCTTATGTTGATCTGTGATGATAGCATGCTGGTTATAACATGCATGTGCTGTAAGTGTTCCGTTTTCAAAGTTGTTTTAATATGAAAACCTTGGAATATTGTGGCCAGCCTTCTCAAAACAAGCCGGCTACCGGCGAAAATCGCCGCCTACTCAAATTTTTGCGCCGGCTACTTTCGTGTAAATTTTCAGAAAAACACTGTAGTCTCCGCAATTTTTCTCACAAACTCCACCGGCTCATTTATTCTGACGAACTTCAGACAATTTTCTGCTAGCTTTCTGGATCTGAAAACTGCTTCTTTCTTAGCCTCCTGTGCAGCTTTCTCGTGCACGAGTCAGCGTTTGCTTCTACGAGCGGCCCGCGGCCAGAGCGGCCGAAACTTTACGGGGGGAGGGTCTTGTTGTTCGGGGCTCGAGTGGTATCCGCGGAGCTGTATCGCTCCGTATCGCTCGAGCTAGGCGGAATTTGCTTCCTAAACTCGTTGCTCACGAAAATTTATCAAGCCGCTACCTTCCCAAATTCTCCCGGCACTAGTAACATTCCTGCTACAAATAACTAGTACAAATCACGTAAAAAATATCAAGACATGTACAGAATCGTGTTCATATCTTTCTTACACAGTTAGAAACACAAGACAAATTTTCAAAAACAAATCGCCATCAGCGAGATTTCACAGCTTTTTCATTCATCAAAAGTTCTTGTCGATCGTAAAATGATCACTCATCTGTTGTCTCCACTAGTGTGTCATTTGTAGCGTAATCACGGCGAGCCAAAAATCAGCGTCAAAACTAAGAAAACCCCGGCATAAAAAACGCACACTCCGCATCGCTGTACAGAAACAGGAGATTTCAGGCGCCATCTTGTCATGAATAAGTAAGTAGCACCACGCAATCGACGCTCTGATTGGTTCACCTCACATGACCTGCGTTCTGATTGGATAAGCGATGTGGCTAGCAGCACGCAGCGCGGGAACATTTTTCTTCGCCGGTGAAGAAGAGAGACACATTTACGCTGCTTTCTACGTTTTTTCTACGACTACTTAGCAACATCCTATTACAGAAATGCATAATTAAAAGAATTGTCGGGGATACTTTGTGGCTCGCCTCCTACTTTTTCTTATCAGCCACCTACTCTAAATTTTTTTGAGAAGGCTGGTGGCTAGAGCGGTTTGGAGGGAGAGGATACCAGGATACCCTGACCTGATGATGATTTATATAATAAATTATCATCCAATAGTGATTGGGTTCTAGTAATTTACAAAAAGTCCAGTTGTGACAAAACATTTAAGATTATTCTCGCTGTCCTTGTCTTTGTATGAATAATGTAGCAGGCAGCAGATTGTGGAATGTTCCTACTGTTTGTTCACAGGGTAAGGAGTTTGAGACCAGACTGAAGGAGAAGAAGCCAGGAGACTTGTCAGATGAGCTCAGGATTGCCTTAGGCATGCCTGTAGGACCTGTAAGTTCTCCACTGATTTCATAGTATTCAACTTTCTACAGTTCAATACTGACATTAAATACTGCCACTGTTTCATTCATGTTTTGTTTTTGACAGTAGATTTGCTATATTACCAGCGCATCTTACTGACCAGTATGTTCCAACAGAATGGTTGAAGACGAAAGAAAAGAAAAAAGTCCCATGGAAATTTTCTGAAACTGGACAGTATAAACGTTAAACCTTAACACAGAACTTTTTGCACCTGTTGACCACTTTGTGTTGACTGCCTTTTTCCAGAATGCCAACAAGTATCCCCCACCATGGCTGATTGCCATGCAGAGATACGGCCCCCCTCCATCCTACCCCAACCTAAAGATACCAGGACTTAACGCACCTATCCCAGAGGTAAGTAATGTTTATGGTGTCTAAGAAACTAGCTTTGTTACACTTTAGGCTTACAAATTTTAGCAAGTATCATTGCAGCTTCAGGATCTGATTTTGATACATTACAACCTAATTTTTTTAAAGTAAAATGATCATTCATCATTATCATCATCATCATCATCATCATCATTTTGGGTGAGTTGCCCAGACTAAGACTAAAGTTCACTCATTGTCTTTAAAAGTTCTGTGATAATTACATTACTGCAAAAGATTAGCTTGTAACTTGCATATTGATGTGTGCATTATCAATTAGGCTGAACTGTTGGAATTCGATGCTACATGTGTCTGGTTTTGATAGTCATTGATGCAATGCTTTATTCTGAAAGTAACCTTTCGCCATCTCCACAGAACTGTTCCTTTGGTTACCACGCTGGAGGCTGGGGAAAGCCCCCTGTTGACGAGACAGGAAAACCCCTCTATGGGGATGTGTTTGGCACCAATGCTGCAGATTTCCAGGTAGGAGTCATCTTATGTTCAACTTAGAGTCACAGTACAGAGGAAGCCGCTTAGTTGCACCACGTATTTGTCAGCGCATTTGGTGCAATTATCCAGGTGGTGCGACAAGCCGGAGGTCGGCCCGGCTGGGGCCGGAGGACTGCACCACCGCGGACGGGGGTTGAGAAGGGTCCGTTGAGAAGTGGGGTCGGAAGTCAGAACCATAAATTTGACAAACACAGACACAAAAAAGCACCAACAAACTATGAAATTTATACATATATTAACTTTATTCACACATTTTGCACATGTACAAACAAGTTTAATAATTTCTGGTGTACCGGCTCGCTATCCATTTTAAGTTTTATCTCATAGACTACGAACAAAACATCGAAGAATTAAGTCTTACATTGTTACAGATCACAAGCGCAAACTGTTGTTTAAAAGTGGCTAAATGTGCGTAGAATATGAAGAACGGCGTCCCAAGAACAGAGACATAACATAAGCAAGTTCCTCTCTCTAATCGCTCTATATCGGTAAAGTAAAGACATTTGTGCAGCGCTACCATATCTCGTAGAGTCGTAGATTACATGAAAAATATCGGACATGTTACACTTGCAAGTTTTACAAAGCATACACCGATTTTTTGTTACAAGTTACAGGCGATAATTGATAATTGACAGCTAGCGTTATCTATAGAACACTTCGTCGTGTGTGCCGCGCAGGAAGACTTAAAAAATTCAAGAAAACTGAGACAGTGGGCAGGTAGAGAGAGACCCATTTTTATTGAGACCAGCAAGTTGTCTATCAAAACGCACCACGTACGGCCTTTGATGTCTCTTAGTGGACGGCCTCCCTTTGTGATGCCGACGTTCCCCGGGACCGCCGGGACGCTCGATATCAACGTGGTTTTCAACAGAGACCGCATTCTTTTGTCGCTCATAACAGACAATTTTATGCATAATGTCGCTATTGCTCCTTTACACAGGCGTTTATCGGCCCGTTTTTACCGTGTTTGTCGATTTTTAGCTCATGTTTACAGGTCAGTTGTTGACGATGTTGGACAAATTTTGGTGCATTTAGCCGGCGATAGGCTTACTGCACGGTGCAGAAAGCCAATCTCACTAACAATGGAGTGATGGGAAACGGTTTGGGATTTTAGGATTTGGTGCAATTGACCGGAGTGTGCACACAACCGTAGTGCAATTAATTGGCTTCCTCTGTACTACATGTCTTAAACTGTCATAATATGTAACAAAAAACTACGACCACGTAAAATCCATGTATCCTTTCTTAATCTTAGCTTTTCAACAATGAGTAGCAAAACTATCATCATACCTTTGTAACCTAGTTTAATAACTGACTATGCCCCTATTGTTCACTACTGGTACACATTATAGAGAAAAAATATATGCCTCAGAGTCAGAGGTAAGCTGTAGTGATTACAGAACTGTGTGGCACAAGGGCCATAGAACAATGGGTGGACACGGCCCTATGCACCATCTGGTGTGGATGACTTTGACTTTTAACTTTAACAACAAAGAGTAGCAACGCATCTCCCATGCCTTGATCTGTGTGTTTAGACTCAGGTAGAGGAGGAGCCAGTGGAGAGAGGTCTGTGGGGGGAGCTGGAGTCAGAGTCTGAGGAGTCAGAGTCAGAGGAGGAGTCAGAGGAAGAGTCTGAGGAGGAACCTGACAGGTCCGGACTCATCACACCAGGAGAGGGGTAAGCCACTTCTGGCAATTCTACATATCTTACCACATTATGGGTTGCATTTGGCTCAGAACCAAGAGGTCCCAGGTTTGAATCCTGCCATCACCAACCTTGTGCCCTTGGGAAAGGCACTTTAAACGACTTGACTTTCCTCACTTTGCTCAGGTGAAAATAAGTATGCCAGAATGATCATTATCATGATCGTGGGCATTAAAGGAAAACCAAACCATTAGCCTATTCTCTCTTACTATATATTCCTCATATGACATCAGATATTTGTCTGTTATGGGTGGTGGTGTGGATACAGTCCCAAGACAATGTATTTTTTTTTATGCACATTATAAATATATTTGTGGGCATGGTGGCCTTGAAAAGGTGCACTTAGGTGCACCTGTTCCACCATGCCCTCCATGTATATTTATGTGGTTAATTGTAATAAATAAATAAATAAATACGAAAATGAAATCATACATATATTAGCTGGACAGCTGAGCAGGGAAAGGATTTTAGCCAATAGCATTATAAATTATGTGTCTGGTGACTGGTGAAACTAACGTGAATGACTTAAGTCTAAATAGACAGGAAAGCACAGGGCTCTTTACCCTTTTCTGTAATTATTATCTAACTAACCTTCACTGTTGTTATTGTTGTTGTAGTGGTCTGATTACTCCCAGTGGCACCACCTCCATCCCCACTGGCATGGAGACTCCAGACATGATCGAACTCAGGAAAAAGAGAATAGAGGACGCCATGGAGGGGTGAGTCAGTCACAAGTTGTGAAAGAAAAGTGAAGCTGTAGATTTAATATCATTTGATGGATGGTTAGATTAAAACTACGCCTGTAGCTTTCTACGGGTTCGCCACAATCAAGAGTTTGTGGTATGATCGAAAGATCCAATTTTGTTCTTGAGCCACCAATCTGTTTTATTAGTAATATAAAGCAAATATCACTAGAATGCCCTGGCATTGTCGAATTTGTTATTAATTCCCTTTTACTGTTAACTTCATGCAATTCTTCAGTGGAAATCATTTCAGAATCATTCATATCTGCTGATGGTTAGCCATGAAAACATGTTTATTGGAGCTATTGTATGAAACCTAGACAACACGATTTACAAGCCGTGGTGAAATTGCAGAATATCATGTATATTTGAACTGAAGTTTGGAGATTTTGTCAGTATCATCAGTAATGGTTCATCAGTGATAAGATCTGTTAATTTTCCGTTTGACTGAGTTTGTGAGTTTTTGGTTTGCAGGGGAGAGACGCCCACCCTGTACACAGTCCTGCCTGAGAAGAAGGGCGGTCCTGTCGCTGGGGCCATGATGGGTTCTACACACGTGTACGACATAGCTGTGAGTGTCCCAGAAAAAATATGTATCTAGATTGATTAATGTTATACATGTAGACTGTTATGCTGTCTATGTTAAACTCCATTGTAGTGTCTTGTATTTGCCAGCAGGGCTAGCCCTTTGCAATAGCCACAGGCTAGTTGGGCAGCTCTACCTCTTTTTTTTTACCTCTTTCGTTTACCATGGCATGTACTGACTCCCCTATCTCCCCTCCAGGCTGTAGCAGGAGGTAAGAAGGCAGACATGGGTGAGGCAGGAGGAGTGGAGATTGCCCTGGACCCCAGTGAGCTGGAGCTGGACCCACAGGCCATGCAGACCAAGTAAGTCCTGCCACTTCCCTGTACAGGCGTATATTTGTCTACCTGTGTTATCTCCATCTTATCCCCTCAATGAACAGGACAGGTCAAGACAGTTTACCCCTGTGCCTTCATGGATATGGATTTAGATTTTTGCTAAACACGCATGCACATGCAGGTAACATTCAAAATTACCTACACCAGACAGATTTTCCTCACACCATGGCAGCTTTTAGGAGCTGTGGATCACACTGGATGCTGCTTACAAATCATGTCAATTATTTGCAAGCCATTTTATATTTACATGTACTTCCATACCCAGCACATCATAACCAGTGCACTTGCCCTGGTTAGGTACAGGTAGCCATCAGAAATAGCTCCAGTTTTACCTGCACTACCAGCAATCTGCTTATGCAGGTGACATTTTGAGCCCTGCATATCTGCCTGAGATGCTTACTTGCTTCTCTAAGTCTCCTGTCTTTGTCAAGCCGCTCTCCGGTGTACCCTTCCGCTTGGTTCACCTGTAAACACCTGTTGACACCTGCCCACTCACCTGCATGTTTCCCTCCAGGTATGAACAGCAGCTGAAGGAACAACAGAATCAGCTGGAGAAGGAGGACCTGAGTGACATGGTGGCAGAACACGCAGCTAAACAGAAGGTCAGTGTCTATTCAAGTGTGCAAAAGTGGTTTTTGAGGTGTTTGTCTGTTTGCTTGTGTGGCTGTAGTTATTTGAATAGAGTGACAGGAAGTGAGGGGGGAATCGTGTGACTACAGACTGAGCAGAAGGTCAAATTGTCTCCCCACAGGCTGGGTGAATTGTACAAAAGTTATCTTGTTTTCAGTTTCTTGTTACATTAATGTCTGTTGCCTTATGGGTTAGCCTGTGATTAAATAAATGCATAAAGAATCAGTGAGAAATTCACAATATTGAATAAAACAAGGAATTTACAACAACTACATACATGTATTCTTCAAGGAGATCCTTATATCCTTCTTGAATGTATGTCATACATACCTACCTACATACATACATACATACATACATACATACATACAAATATAAATAAGAAAGAATTTGTCCTGAAAACATTTTAACAGTGTTGTTTGGGTTGATTCATTTCTAAATTTTAAAACTGTCTGAATTCTTTAAAGGAGAATATAACAAGAGTATGGGAATAAGCTGTTGTACCTTTCCTCGTACACATACACACTAACACATACACACTAATAACTGTCTGTTACTGTCTCACATCCCTATTTTTTTGCCATAGAAAGTAATGCATATGGTGATGTAATCTTATATTCTATTTTGTCCCGTGGCCAACAGATTGAATTTTGTTGTTGTAATTTCAGCCTGGCCAGAGAAAATTTGATAAGATGTTATACAAACCGTTCTGACTGGGTCCCTCTCCACAGACTGCCCCCGTTTTCTGATTGCTGTGATGCAATTTTCCTCCTGCCTAAAAGTAGGTCAGGGCCAGGGAGAATAGCAGACAACAAGTCATAAATATTTCTGAGGATTTAACCTTTCAATAGTTGGACTGCATGACATGGTAACATATCAATGTTCAAAAGACCCTGGAAGATCTACAGACAATACAGACTGAAATTTGTAATTGTTTAGGTTTTTAATTCAATTGGTCTGTTGTTACAGTTTCTGCTGAAATTTGTGTTGTTTTCTCATTCAGACCCATATAAAGAAGATAATTATGCTAAGTAATGGATGGACTTGTGAAACAGTTGAGGATACCTTCTTAGCTTTAGCTGAAAGTAAATTCACTATACCTAAGCATAAGACAGCAATTTCAATTTTACTTGTCCTGCATCCTGACAGTTCTGTATATTCCTCTCACACGTGGTGTGAATCTTGTCAGCAGAATTGAGATAAAATGAAGTGATAGCTGCTCCCTCATCCCCCAGTTTGTGTTCCAATTTGGTCTGTAATCACCTGGCTTGTCGTTTTCTAATGGCCAAATGGAGTTACAGCTTCCCACTTTTGTCAATTACACCACAAAAGGGATGGCCGTCTCTGTCAGGTGATGTGATAAAGCCTGTAAGACAAATGTCTCTACCCTTTAGAGATAAGACTGATTGTACACGCGGAGGGGCATAATTGGTATATAGCCTAACCACATCTTGCTTACCGATTCATTTAGCATTATTACTGTACATTTCTAATTCCCAGGACAAATTAAGGATGGTATGGAAGAAATGTGGAACAACAAAGATAGATTGGAATAGAATAGAAGTAAAAGAAGTCCTGGTATGATTTATGTTATTTTGTAATCAAAGGCCCTTGATAAAGTTGTGTTTCATTTTCAATGTCAGAATTTTGCCATTTGGTATGGTAACCTTAATTTGGTAAACAGTATGATGGATACAAGGGAGGGAGGAATATGATGTTTTCTTCTATCTTGTTAGTCCTGACATTTCCTTACTTTATAAAAGACCTTGACTTCGTAAACTGAGGTTTCCCCATAGTACTGCGACAGGTTGCAAAAGATCCCAGAATGTCAAGGTCACTCGGCTCCATAGTCATCTGCAAGTCATTGTCAAGTGTGGATGGCTGAAGGCAAGATTTACAGTAGAGTTGTCGTACATGTCCCAGGTAACTTTCTGAAAATAAGCTAAAGGCCTAGAATTGAGCAGTGTTTCTCTGTTTTCTGTCAGTAGCATAGTACATCACATTTTCTGATGGACCAGTCTGCATTAACAATAGAAAAAAAAAAGCAACAGGAGTGCCAAAAAGTAAATAATCCATGTGTGTATGAAGCAAGTTGATGGACGGTACTGTGACAACATTTATTGTTTCAGAGGCGTTTAACGATCGTGTCTTTCATTTCCAGAAACGGAAAAAGGCACAACAGGACAGCGGCAAGGCTGCCAAGAAATACAAGGAGTTCAAGTTCTAATTGGTGCGTTGATGAATAGACCACACGTGGAGGTCGTAATGGGGGGACTTGATTTACCGTGGACAGCTGTACATGTGCCAGGATCGGCTCCACTAAACTGTGACGGTTTATTGTGTGGAATGTGAAGGGGACACAATTAGTAGAATTAGTTGGCTGGGTACACTGACACGTGGGATTACTGATAAGGGGGTATTGTAACAAATAGCATTTTAAGAAGAAGCAGAGATGTACAGGTCTTTTTTGTGTGTTAACATTAATCAGAGCTCAGTCAAAGTCTACATGTAAGTAGCTTGTTTGTTACCGGTAACTTTATAAACATGCTGTTGACTTGCTATGTGGTTGTGAGAAGATAGTAGTTATTTGTCCTTTTAAAACATATATGTCAAATCTCCCTGAACATTGTCAAGCATCTTTTGGGGGAGCCTTTCAAGTTGATTGCATGCGTTCACCATGTAAGGTCTTGGCTAATAAGCAAAAAACGTGATCAACAATGCAAAAAAGCAGCTTCTGAATCTGTAACCACCCTTCAGTGTTACAAACCAGCTTAATGTCTCATACAAGTGACTTGACACTAAATGTAGACTTCGACTTGATAAATCATGTCAGAATAGGGAAGAAATTTATTCCAAGCCACTTCCACAGCTGCAGCGCTTTAGACTTGATGTCTCCGTCACTTCCTTCCTCTGTTTTCTTACCTCGTGCTCCAAGAGTGAGAAAATGAGCAGCTGTGATTAGAGTCACACTACAAACTCAAAGCCTTTTTTATCCTGCACATTCCAGCTTGGAAATAATCTTACTCAGATAAGACACAAAGTTGTTATACTATACAGCAGCTGATTGTAATTAAGAGAATATTGTGAGCCAGACTTAAGTAACTGACATCCCCACAGTACAATGTGTAGAAGACATTTCCTTTGTCTTAGAGTTAATGAGTCATCATGTACAAAACACTTAAGAATGTTTTGAATAAATACACCCCAGGCAAACCAAACAAGGTATATGGCAACTTGTATTTTCCAACATGTACTCAAGAAGACACCAGACAAGCACAGATAACGTCACAACAGAGCTGCATTTTCACCTTGACACTTGTTCAGACTTTCATCACTGACACTAATCTACATAGTGAGAGTTCCCTGGGGAGGCATGATAAGGGGCTGCTGAGTGCTGCAGCCTAAGATAGCGCAGACTCACTGGCTCAGAAAAATCCCTCGTAGATTACAATCAAATTGTTTCAATGAATATTACATTGATATTAAGACTGACGCCAGAGCTAATGTTTGCCCTTGAGAATGACAGCAAAATAGATAAGCTTGTAGATGAACAAGTGCAGATTTAAACATGGCTTGACAAATAGTTATATATTCATAGATGACTATTGAAGAACAGATACAGAGAAACATGTAATAAAGCCACTGGTGCACACAACCGTGTAAGAATTAACCATTTGTTGCTGATGTACAGGTTTACATGCAACGTCAGCCACCTGTTAAATTACATTGTGTAGAAGCTGTAATTTCAATTAATCAAATGTCATCCCAGTATCATTACATGGGCCTTGCTTGAGATTTTTCTTGACTTGCTCAAGTCAGAGTCTAGACTGACTGGGATTCTTTCAACTGAAGTTATTTTTTTTACACACTTTGTACTACATGTCACTCTTTCAATAAACTTACTACACATTTGACAAGTCATTCACATACACCACCAAAACTGTGATACAGACTTATACAAACCTGAAGATATTACACTTTGATGGAATGGAAGAGTGACTACTGAAGACTCAAAGCTCAGTGGCCATGATTGTAGTAGTGAAACCTGTGAACTACATGTGGGGACTTCTAGACAACATCTGTATCCTAACAGCAGTTACGGGCAGTCCCAGAATGACCCAGATACATCTTGATAGTGTCGGTATATGTACTCAACAGGGGCTGACATGAATCAGTGGTGATGTCTTGTTTAGAGATAGGCCTGTGTTTCCAGCGTACACAAATTACTCCCTATATACCAATCCTGGGGAAGGCCCAAAATGATTACATCTAGGACTGGGCTGAGGTCAGCAAGGCTGTTGCTTGACCTCTGACCCCTAGTGGCGGGAGATGTGTCAGCTGTTCTGTGTAGTTATCCTGTACCTATTAACGGACAAATCAGCGGCAATGTTAACCTGTGTAACCGTTTCAAATATATGTGAAGCACAGTACACGTTTTCTGTACAAAACTGGCAACATTGCAACAACCCCCTTTTTTCAGAGTGTTAGAAGGGGAAATGTATTTCGTTTTGTGATTGTGTTAACATTAACGAGCAGGTATGTAACCTCTGTACAGACCAATCGTTTCCAAGGTCCCTGGTGTGGGACACGGAGCAATGTTGCTGCCGAATGGTTGCCATGACAACACAGACGTGCATTACGCTGGTGCATGTGCCCTTAATGACTTCCGTTGTCTGGTAAATTGCCCCCGAGCAGGTATTTTACTCGGCGAAGAGTTACAAGGCAATGAGCATGTGTAGGCAGTCTAATGCGCTGGCCAAGTAACACGGGCCGACTGGGTGCTGTTGTGCCGCGGGTCTAATGTTGCTTTGCCAGAATAACATTCTTACGGCAGCTTTTATACATGTCCTAGGGTCTTATATGCACTACCCACGAGGTCCGAGCATGTATGTGTTGAGGTTGCAGTAGGGCTTCCTGCAACGTCTTTTCACAGGAGTACACACGATTTTATCAGCTGGACACACCTGAATTTCAACGGGGAGACAAAATTACCACAACTGTCTGGTATCCCTTACTTTGTAAATAGGAAAGTTTATCCTAGAAGTCCTGCCCTGTGACAGTCTTCCTCAGAACGTCCATACACTTCCCGAGCATGACGAACAGTCCGTTTCTCAGCTGCTTGTTCATGAGGGAGTATATGATGGGGTTGATGCAGGCGTTCAGCCAGGCCACCATGGCGCACAGCTTGTACAGCCAGACCCCGCCGGCGTTCGCCTTGTCCACGATGCTCAGCACCATGTAGGGCAGGAAACACAGCGAGAACGCCACGAACACCGCGAAGGTCATCTTGGCCAGGCGGACGTTCCTGCTGACCCGGTACTGCGCCCTGATGCGGCGCGCCGAGCTGTCCGGGTCCGTGCGGTCGTTGCTGGCGCTCGGCCTGTTGTCGTTCAGGTCGTCCCCGACACTGTCGAGGTTACTCGTCGGGTCCGTCTCTGAGAAGTAAGTCCGCGCGCGGCCCAACCGAGACGGCGAAATTTCCCGGAGGCTGGAGCGGTCCACGACTAGACTGCCCCGTCGGGAAGACCGTCCGTGCAGCGACGGCTTTTTCGTCTTCTTCGACGTTAAATTCGGGATCGTTATCAAACTACTGGTTCTTGTTCCTATGTCTCTCTTCTCTTTGGTGGCCATAGGGGAGTGATCGTTGTGTAAGTTTAACTCGGGATTTGAGTTGCTGTTTCTGTTGTCAGTTTGTGTCTGTTTGGAGGAAGGTGATGAAGCTGTGCTTTTCTTTATCCCCCCGGCGGAGTCGCTTCCCACCACTATGAACACGTCGTCCATCTCCAGATCTACGGAGATTTTCACGTCAGACGGTTTCTTACCGTTCGCCTTGGGGGTCGGGCCCTCGCTGACGCTGTTTAGTTCAGACGCGTCCGAGAACACGTTGTTGTTCCTCTGTCCCCGGTTCTTCTGCACCCTTCTTCTTCTTGTTGAACTTGTTGGCGCTGGTCCGGACGGTTCTGAGGATGCACGCGTAGGTGAAGCACATGACCAAGGTCGGCACGATGCAGTAGGCGGAAAACAGCGCCGTCGTGAAGGACGCGCTCACCTCGCGGTCAAAGCTGCAGGTGGAGACTTTGTCGAAGAACGTAAAGCGTCCCCAGACGCCGATAGCTGGGGGAACGAGGGAGAGAGCAGGCAGCAGCCAGGACACTCCTATCATGACAGCCGTGCCGGTCTTGTTGTAAATGGACCTGTACTTACTGGGATGAACGATCAGGAAGTACCTGTTGACACAAAGGGTGTGAAGTAAAGGTTATGTTCTCTCAGTAAAAGTGCAAACAACACACAGGCACAACACACACATGTAATCCCCGCGGATGTTTGGTCGGTCCCTTTCAGCTGTCGTTTTAGTTGGAAGATAAAGGCTGTAATAAGAGACTTCGCAAAAGCTTTTGCATCCGCCACCTAGTACATACAATTTCTAACAGGGCTAACTACAGAGTCTCTCCCGTTTCTAAAGACTGTGTTTGGAAAACCTGCTTCAAACACAATGCCCCAACACTTTAATTGGACATGACACACTGATTCTGAAAAGGCAACAAACATAACCATGCAAACAGATCCAAAGCTTCAGAAATAGGGCACCCTATGTACTGGACAACACATATAATGTATCGATAGCCTTTTAATTCTCATGTCTGCTGCACCTCACAGAATTGTCTGGACCCTGACGTAAGCTAGAAACATTGCGGGAAGTACGGAGGGATTCTAATATCGTGCACAGTTATGATTATAGTCCCTGTCATGTCATGAATTTTTATTATTGTCTTGTGACGTCAATGAAATAGCTGTGCGGTTTCCTGAAAATTAAAACATGGGAAAATTTGCCCGAGGTGAGGAATACATTGGGGAAATTGCAGGAAGGTGAACGGGGCTGCAGGGTAATGCCTGTAGGGTTTAGTACATTTTCTTGCCTTCGAGATGATCTCTGCTTGACAGGCAGGCATTGGCAATCGGTTATTTTGGGCGTTTCAGCTGTAAATATCGAAGCAATGAAATTTGCTCAACGAAACGATTTTACAGAATAAATATCTTAAAATATCCCCGAGCTATTATAGCTAACTCCACTGTTTTGATAAAACAGAACATGAAATTCGTCGTCACTGCTGCTGTTGCCCGACCAGGCCAGATGGCCCACATCAAAACACACCCAAACACATCAATAGTGACTAAGAGTGTTCAACACTCCGTAGTAACGGGGCGGGCAATAGCTGCAACATGCAGGACAAACAGTTCCCTAACCACAAGACGTACGTGGAATGCGCACCTGTTTAATGCCACGGCGCACAGGGTCAGCTCCGACACGCCGAATAGTAGGAACAGCACGTAGCCGAAGACGCTGCAGAACACGGGCCCAAACTCCCACCGGCCGGCGATGTACGAGTGCACGGTGATGGGCTGCAGCACGGCCGAGTACAACAGGTCCGCCACGCTCAGGTTGACGATGAAGGCGGTGGACACCGTCAGGAGTTTCCTGTTGGACGTGATGGTCGCTATAGTGGCGATGTTCCCCACAGTCCCCAGCACCGTCACCAGGATGCCCAGAGCCACGCCAACGAACTCGATAGGCTGGTTCATGGTCTGTGTAAGCTGACGAACAATCCTCTGTTCTTTTCTGGTGAAGTACACGCGCGTTTAAGAACCCGACACTGGGTTGTACGCTAGCGGTGAGCCATTAGAAAGCTTCCCGTCGCTCTACGCACGTCGGATGGCCTTTTGTGCGGCAGGGCAGAATACATCACCATGATTACATTCATGACATTTCCCGGGGAACAGGCAGGCAGCTGCGGGTCTCGCACGCGCACGTTTTCGCGCCACTGACAGGCGCTAAACTGCGGTTAGTGCCGGCCTTTCATCACGCGTGACGTAGTGACTTAAAGACGTCGCCGGTTGGCAGCCTTTGGGAGACGGAGCTAGCCCGAGTCTGCGTCCTGTGTCAGCACGGATTTCATGTGAAAAGTTCCGGACGGGAGACAAAAACCAGAAACGCTGTATGACACAGCACTAGTAGCCGACTCGTATTAGGTTCCCAAAGATGTCACAGATACTTTTAACGTACAATTTCATAGCAAAGAACTACAGAACTGTACGGTACTAATGGTATCGGGTTCGACTCTGTCAAATTGCGTCACCACCGTACTGTACCGCAATGATGAATCATTTCCATTTGGTAATGGTACTCGCGCGTGGCTTGGTACGTATAGCTGCTACCTGAGGCCGTTCGCACATCGCACTCCTGAGAAGATTCCGTGTATTCCTCTGGCGTTGCGCGCGGCTCACAGGTTTGTCAGACAGGCATTTCTTGCGTGCCTGGGGGGACGACCAAATTGTCTCAACCTCCCCAGAGGAAACGATATCGTCGTCTCACAGAATTCCAAGTATGGGCGGTGTCCTCCGGCTAGTCATATGCACGCACGAGGCAAACTCTCGTCGCCAATCCCAGGCCTGTACCGTAGATAGACCTAGCTGCCGGTCAAACTAACCTTCTACGTTTTTGTTGCACGTTTCTACGTTTGACCGAGGAGGGCGGGGCTATGGGTCTACTGCCTCCCTGGAAAATCACTCATCGGTTGCTAAGGACGAGCTCTCCGAATGGTTGATGGCTCCATGGCAGCTTCGGTAATAATAATGCCTGCCGGCCGTACGGCTGCAAAAGCAAATCGTCCGCACATTTGTAAAATGGTCATGCCTATTAACAACGTTTGACACAGATAGGAGTACAATAGTGCGAGTGATGATTCTGATGGTGGCCATAAAAATGAAGATGACTGTTGGCCCGCTGACCCAACGCGAATTGCACGAGTAGAATTTGTCCCGACTGGCGAGGATTACGGAATTAACTAGCTGACAAAAATGATGCATGAAATCCCTGATTAAATGATAACCTACTGGCTTGACGACAGAAGGCTAATCTGACTTATTCAGTGCCAGAGGTCGGGGAGTCAAAATACCCGTATTTGTCGAGCTTTGAAACGTTCTGTCTGTCCGCCGTTCTGATGAGACAGCTGGGATATCAATAAATACCTAGTGCGTGGTTAGCCTCTACCAGGCTTCGGGAGCGGCTGGAAAGAGGAGAAATTGGCCAGATAGACAGATAACATGCCAGGGCAGCGAATTAGTGAACCAACTCCCTTGGCATGCTTATCTGTCTATTTGGCCAATTTCTACTCTTTCCAGCCGCTTCCGAAGCCTGGTAGAGGCAAGTGCATGGTACCGACTTCTTTAGTGTAGCTTGCTTTTATTATAAATACCTCATCCCAGAGGATTGTGGTGAGATATATCTATATACTAGTACCCTACCCCCCCCCACACACACACACACGCACTTCAAGGACATAATTAGACAAAGTGCCCGATATACCTGTCACCCGCGGCACATACACTTCTTAAATCACATTCTAATTGATGAGAGAACAGAAGACGAAGTGCTCAGTGTTTAACGTCTAGTCTCCAAGCAGATGTTGAGGCGGAAGATCGTAATTCTCTCCTAGCCTGGCTGCCGGGCTTCTGTGACAGCTGTTGTGGGTAACTGTCACAGACTCAGAGAAGCCCGCTAGTCAGAAAATGTTACAATCTTCCACTCAAACATCTGCTTGCAGATCACAGAATGTGAAGGTTCTCGATAGAAATGACACCTTGGGCGGTTATCTGGGTGTCCGCTGATATCGTCGGCCCCGTTTAGCAACATTTTACTTTTAGGATCACTGGGTACATCTGGAAAGACTCTCTGTCCTACAGACTAGACTGAGGCTGACCATATGTGCACGTGTATGTTAGAGTGGGATGGATAATAGATCGAATGCCATTCATCGTTACTTTCTAATTATCAATGCCCTGATACAGCACAAAGACAATAGTATACTTTCTGTCTGTTTGACATAATATGACAGCAATACCAGTGCTACTAGAACTTTGGGAACAGGATTTCTACGTCAAGTTCAGAAGAGAGATGATCCATGCACCTTCCCCCGCTCTGTCACATGGATCAGTAGAGCCATGCCAGGCATGCAGTTGAGCCCTGTAATGATGGTCATCTTCGCGCGGGGCTGCTATTTTGAGATAAGTTATATCCCATCTGCTTAAATCCGGAAACCAGATTTCCCAATATCCGGCTTCCTGGTAATAAAACTCTTAAATCAAGAACTCAAATTGCCATGTATCACGCGCATGGGCCCAAATCTCTTCATAGTTTTTCCACTTGTGCAATTTCAGCCTCCTATAATAACCAGAAGAGGGTAAAGCGAAATCTTTATTGAACGGCCTTTGTTGCTCTCACGTCATCGCTTTCATCTGGATAATCTGTGAAAATCTTCTGGTTTATGTGTGTATGTCGGATTTCCAACCGCGTAAGCCCGTACAGACCAGCTTTTTGCTTCCTTGGGGAGCAAGGATTATTCTGGTATCGTCAGGGGTGGGCGTGGTCACGTGTCGTCATGGCGACCATGCACCTGTGTACTGTTATGTAAGAAATCCGTGTCGACACAATAACAAAAGAAACGAAATGTAAAGTGTGCCCTAACACTTACTACAATTCTTCACCTTAAAATAACATGGGAATTTTATAAAGCAGATGACGTAGAGTGGATCCATAATCCCTCAAGCTAACCCACATCTATCACACCTCAGTAAGACATCTGGAGCCGCGCTGTTCCCGTTTAGAACTTTTATCCAGCCTGTCACAACCGGTTTCGCCCTGTAGGCTTCTTCATTCAAGTGTGCAGAGGCTAAATGACGGACTAAAAGTTTACTTTACACGGAAGTGCGGTACAGATATGACACTTCAGATTGCATTTCGTCTGTCGCATGAGTGAGTTATCAGTTATACCAATTTCGTCCATATAGGAAAAGAACTTTCTAGCCGCGAGTGTACTTTACCCAAATCCTTACGACGAGAAACTAGAATTTTAGTGAAATTCTGCTGCATGTTATTTAACGCTACTGGTGTTACAAGGGGTCTTGTGCCTGACACAAATTTTATCAGCAATCTTTGCTTATTTGCCTTAGCTGCTACTAAGATCAGGACGAGAAGGATAACAATGCCTCTTGTGTATTTCTTTTCACCGGTTTCATCAATCAAGTTATACTTCAGGAGACCAAAACGTATGTGGTACATACTGCTTAACTAATGAGAATGTTCCCCGTTCAAGGAACAGTGTTATTAAACGTAAGGTCAATTAGTGCACCACTTAGAACTACGGGAATTACTTAATTAACCTCCATTTGACCTCCTTTGACGTATAAGGCCATTAAGACTGACCTGCCCATCTCCTGTTGCATGGGATACAGCACATGTAATGGCTCTCCTACCGCAATAATTCTTCAAATTACGGCAATTACCTACCCCAATATCGTGACCTGGATGATCCCCGGGCCCTGTGACGTCATTGGCGGATGAGGTAACCGCGGCCGAGGAAGTGATCTCGTTCCCAGGGGGAAAACCCTACCTGCCATCTCGTCCCGATTCTCGGAACTTATCCTGCTGATCCTTCCTCGAATTTTGAAATACAGTGTACAAGACTATCAATTTTCCTAATTTTCTGCAGTCAGGATATTCAAAAGACCTCACTTATATGGAGAGCAATCACGAGGAAGGTAACAAAGCCGACACATTGAAAATATGAGAAGGGCGTTTTCATTCGCAACACTTCGGAATATACGTATATAACCACGCGAGTAACTTTACGTATGTAACCACGCGAGTATAATTACCGACCCTATATAGGTTACAAATTGGGCTAGTAATCTGGGCGAGGGGAGTGAGGTGTATGATCGGAACATTGGATCGCTTCCCGGCCAACTTTTCTGCGGGGTGACAGGAGAAGCGGAAGCTGAAATTGGCTGCCAGGATGGAGACGTAGTAGCTAATCGGGAACGCATCAGCGGGTGATGCGATTTCAGATCATCTCTCCATAAGAAGATGATATCATTTGGTTATCTGTTGAGAGATATGACTTTATTTTCCTTCTAATGTACTGGTACCGGTTTCTCTTACACAGAGAAGCCTTTCTTTTTGCAAAATGTTGTTGGTTCAATATCCTTGCAACTTGATATTTTTGGCAATTGCAATTTTACCGGGTTTTGTGTTCATATGGGCTTTGTAAGTACGGGGTTCGATAAACAATGGTGCTGAAGGATTTCACAAATTCACAATCCTTTGGAGTTGGCAGGCTTTTGCTACAAAGCGTTTTGCAATTAACTGGTTTCTACTGTGGGTAGTTTAAGAGGGTTTGACGTGTACTTTCTTTAAGACGTATAAAACTTTAAGTAAGTGCGTAGCTCCCGCCTTTGACGTGACGTAGTGCATATGTCATCAGTGCAGTAAAACCGGAACAATGTCATACTTTGCTGTCCAGAAGACTCGGTTCAACTCAGCCATTATGAGACGGACTGGCGTCTTAGTGAACCTTACTGATCCCTGCCTGGCCATTGGTACTTCAAAGGGGCAGTGTATGGTACATTACTGTCATCCACACCCACAAGGTCTCTTCCTCTGACATCAGAGCGCCCCGTAATGTATCCCCAATGTCAACCTACCTCCTACAGCCGGAAAGTGCTGATCTCTCACGGTCAGAGTCTACGTGAGTTCTTGAAGGAAGAGAGCTGAAAAGGCAGTGAAATTTGATAGCTCAATATGTGGACAGAAGGGGGCGGGAAGGCAGGCAGAGTGGTTGATGTGTTTGAATTGCTCTTTCTTCGCGCACCTGGTGCCTCGCAATTATCGCTGCCTCCAGAAGGGCACGGTTTCTCATGTTTCACCCTTTCCGGGAAGCCTTGTCGGGGCACGGCGAGGAGTCAACATCTGACGCAAGCGCGCGCGGTGGTAGTTGACCTTCTCCTTCCCTCATTGATCTTTCTCGTCTGGAAGCCCGCCTCTGGCCAGAATAAGGTCGTATATATGCACAGCGGCGCACTAGGCCGAGAGTAATCATGGGTTTAGAGGTTGGACAAATAGTATACTTGGACGCAGCAATGATTGGCTTGTCGTGATGCAGCCTGGTTTGAAATGTTGTGAAATATGGCTTGGAAAATTCAGATAGAAATCATTTCTAGCAAATCACAAATGAGTAGGACATTGTGATTCTAGTTCAAAAACACTGCAGTAACAGTAGAGATAGTTTGAATGCAGTAAGAATTTAAGTGTCTTATTTGGGGGAGGATGGGTCTCGAGCTCTATTATTGTCATTCGGTGCTACTGAGCAGTCACAAGTATGCCAGTTGAGTGCTGACATTTTCTGATGTGCCATTAAAGAAATGACTGCTGCCCCCTCTAATCATTATAGTTGGATGGACCCAGAAACCTTTGCGTAGGCACCTGTAGCCCCCTCTGAAGCACGTGGCATTCTTACGCCTCAGAAGTGGAGAAATTGCCCACTTACGATTCTGTTGCAAGCCGCAGTAGCCCATTTGTGCTGTGTACTATTTATGTGTCTTTTGATCCCTCAGCCGGAAAGTCGTGGACTTGAACCCACGAAGTTGCTCTCTGAAGAGCACTTAGACTTTCCAGTAGGATACGTCAAGGATTCGGTGACTCGTACAGGAGTCACGACGCAGACTTCGACCTAATTGTCTTGGGACCCTTAGACTAAAACTCGTCAACCCCCTACAGCGTTCTTTTGATGAGTGAAACTATTCTTTGCGTCAGAAGAAAATACAGAATCATCGTGGATAAGAACTGGCATGCGGCATAGAAAAGCGCAAAGTTTACTTTTCCTATTGGTTTGTAAACTATTAATGCTTGTAATGGGACACTAGAATCACTTTATGGCTTCAAGACGTTACAATAAAAGCCGGCAGAGTGGAATGTAACTGCCATGGCAGAAGCTGATAATTTCAGCTCTATTGAGCGTACCGAGTTAATGTGTGCATGGATAGTTGATAGTCTTATCTCAGGAAAGCAGAGGACTGAAGGGCGTTCAGTCTATTGTGATTTTACGAGGGTTCTGATTGAAACAATTTGGTTTGTAGAGTGGAGGCGGTGAAGTTATCAGTTTAATAGCTACTTCTTCATTTGTGTCTGATTCCATGGAATCGTTCATTAAAAA